TTTTCTTGACAAACGATGCGTATCTGCTGTGTAGCATCACATGGCTTAAAAAAAACAAGAAAAAAATTTCTTGTGTTACTGTTTTATACAATTTAATCAATTCTTATCATTTGACACAGTCTTTAATTCACTTACTGTACAACATCACCACCAATACCCGTTCTCTGGCGCCCCCCTCCCCCTTGTTATTTCTTTGTTTTTGTAATTGAAAGTTCTTTAAAGTTCTTAATCGTGTCATTTTTAAACACACTGCAGATGGGTTAAAAACAACTCTGGCAAAAACTAAACGTAAACTTGTATATATGCGAGTTAGTATAAACGCCGTTTAAACATGTAGACCTATGTATTAAAGAAAAAATGTAGATATTGAATGCATTAGAAATCGACTTTTTTTTTTTTTTTTTTTTTTTTTTTTTTTTTTTTTGATTTAGTAAAATTTAATACATAAAATACCAAAAAAAGGTAGGTATCTTTCCCATCAATTTATTAAAATATTTATCAAAGATCAGTTCTTATCATCGTATATAAACCTATATTTCCAGTGTATATTATATTTACGGGGGATTTTTTTTCTGTAAAGGATATAATTTCAGAAGTTTTATTACCTGTTAAAAAGAACATGAATATTAAAATTGTAGTCTCGCAAATGATGGATGGATTTGCAAACTGATCACGGACTGTACTGTTTACTACTACATACCGAGTATTTCAAAAATCGATATTGTCGAGTCAAACCGTGACTGCACAAAGTATCGGCATCGTAACAATCTCATTTGCTCTGGGCTCAACATTTCTTCTTTATATATATATATTTTTTTAGAAGAATACGATCATGTCATAAACTCAGGGATTCTATTGCTGTATCGTTTTAACAGCAATATGTGTGTTTCAGATCGGGGAAAACGAAACTTCAAAACGCTGACAATTTCAGTGGCTCGCGCTTATCATGGACTTCAATACCACTGCATGGCCCCAGTGTTTATTTTGGGGATTCACGTTAGGGATATTCCCCACATACGTGTCATATATCATATCATATATGTTCCCGTTTTGCACACATTTGATAATTAGGTAAAGAACAATATAGGTGTTAAATATGTTTAGACAGCAATTATAGTCTTATCTCCATCTGGGTTTTACCTGGAATTCACCAATTGATTTTAAAATATAAATTTTGAAAAATTAACTTGTCCAACCCAACGGAAGATGAAGTTGATAATTTAGACAAATATCCTTATCGCAGTTCACCCAGTTTTTTTTATTTCATAAAGATAAAATGAATGAGTACTAGTAAATGAATTCAATCTTAATAAAAAAAAATTTAGCTTGTCCAGTTAACTATAGTATCACATGAATGGTTAAAGTTTTGATTAATATTTATATTTTTTATGTTTTAGAACAGTTTATTCTTATTATGAAATTAAAGAAATAAATCAAAATATCAAAATAAAAATTAATCATTTTTTTCTTCCTATTCTCTCCGTAGATTCTCTTTCTCCAAATTCACAACTATGATATAGGCTATAGCAATTAAGTAATTATCTTTCCTGGACAAATTCCCGTTTTGCACACATTTTTTCAATACCTGAAATTCAAATGTGTGCAAAACGGGAACAAACCCTTTCTTTAACAGAATATTATAGGCTTAATCAAAATTTTATTCTAAGCAGAAAAGGTCACTTTTAATAAATTGCTCTATTCTATGTTGCATTATGCGATTTTTCTTGGAATAAAAAAGACTTAATAACTTTTTTGAATGACGATGAAATCCTCTTGGTATGTCGTATATGTGTATTAAACAGGGAAATATTTTTTTGTTTCTAAAGGTTTGATGTAGAGTAAGTAGTCGAAGTTGTAGCTTAATTTCAGCGTAATTTTATATAGGATATTCATCAGGATCATCCTCCGATAAAAAGCTCCAGTTTTGAGTTGCCGTGCCTTATTAACGACTCGCTCAAATTGAATTGACTGAACTACGAAATCGGATAACTCACCCGAAAACATAGACACATATATATTTACAAAAATAGCTTAAATTAACTAGATAAAATATGGTAGAAATACATTAGTCTAATGCTCTGTTTACATCAGTGGGCTCTTGTGACGTCATAAAACCACAAAATCAAGAACGATAAGCGGGTAAGAAAAGTAACAAGTGGAAAAGTTTTCACCTCTATTTTTCAGTAGAACAAAGGCCAAAAAATATTACTACTCGTAATTTAACATTCTTTCAGATATAGCTTTAGGTTTAAAAAGTGAAATCCTAGTGTTAAGAATCGTTTCCTATGACCTTTAACATCTCTTAGGCTTTAATCGTTCCTAAAAAAAATGATTAAAAACACCTGACGAATTAATGCCAACAAATTTTGTGGCACCGTCCACTATACTTCTGTGATTGTCAACTTTGTCATTTTCTCACAGCTAGGTTTTTTTCACGCAATATTTCCAGCGAGGTTCGAAAATACTTGACACAAGCTTACACTACATCAAAACTATAGGAGTTTCTAAATAAAACACCATATGAAAGATTGTAGTATACATGTATGTTAACATTTTCCCAACTGGCATTTGTGTCTGTTAGCGTGCATCAGAGTAATGAGCAAAAGTTGACTTCTTTAAAAATTTTAATTCGCTGAAATTATGTCTCTTGTTACGTCATTATTATGGTCAGTATGCTATACATTAGATATTCTAACGTCATTTTCGGGATTATTACGTCATAAAAATAACAAAGTGACGTCACAATATGTGTATATTTTTCTGATCTTTTCAATTTTATCAAACTCATTATTTTCCGCTAAACGGTTAATATTTATCAAACAGTTCTCAGAACAAATGCCCCTTGTACAAGGATCCTTCGAATGACACATGGACATATTTGTTTTCTGAAATGTTTTTGACAGCATATTTACTTATTTGCTCGTTTCCTACATTGCACTATAGACAACTATATTCGAAGAAGAAAATACTTTTCCCTGTCTATAGCTTTGTTTGCTGCAGTCTTGCAGTTTCATTTACCTTCTCTATAAACTTTAGAACCAAATACAAAAGTACCCTGCATTTTTTCTATTAACATAACAAAACTTCAGATAACAATGCACATATATATCAATAAAGAAAAATTATGAAAGTGGACAAAATTTTAGTCGCTTTACAAATGATAACGTATAGGTGGTTCTTCATTGTTGTTACCCCCACCCCCGTAAATAAGAAGTAAAACGAATATTTTGAAATACCAAAATAAAAGTTAGTTTCAAACTGAATAAATCTCATTTCCGATCTCTATTTAACGTCGCACGTTTAAGTAACAAAACAATGTGCAAAGACTTGGATTTCTGCAGAAGTGTTTATATAATTTGTATTTTCCATACAAATAATGTACCTTTATAAAGGTTAATCAACTTTTGGAATAGGATATGGAATTTATTTCAAAGGTAGGCCAGTATTGTATTGCTGATTTATTTTTACATCTGATACACATTCCTCTTTGCAGACTACCCGAATTTATCCCCCATATAGATCGACTGTGAATGAATAAATATGTCTTAATCAGATTCATATTTCCACCTTACAGGTGTTAATATATTATTAAGTAAAATCAAGCAGATATTATTAATAATTTTAGAAAAAAAATTCTTCAATACGATAGTATTGCTTTTATAAATACTCACGTTCCGGGCCGCGTGTTAATGTAAACACGTTTTTTGAAGTGCAATTTGAATGCTTTGGGTCAACATTTATGCCAACAACACCTCGGCCATGAAAACGAATTAAAAAAAAACATCCTTTTAGTGGAGATAGAATTTTCGCTGTGCCACCTTACATTACATGGTCACTGAGGATAGCAATGGGTCAGTTCTCTACCACAATTACAGGCCTCTATGTGACCTCTTAAATTTAGGCGCTAACTGGCTCCTAATCAAAAGAAAATTAGTCGCCATGCAAATTTTTCTTAGGTGCCAATTTAAAAACTGATAAAAGTCAATATTTAGAGGCATGATCATTGCTAATTTTTAAACTTCTTTTCTGCTCTTTATTAAAAAAAAATGTTGAAAATGTTTATAGTTCAGTACTATGACAATCTCCGAATCAATTTAAAATGGTCGCCAATTTGGCGACTTATAAAAAAAAAACTGTTAGGCGCCAATCATAATTTTTAGGCGATATGGCGACTAAGTTAGTCGCCAGTTAGAGCCCTGCAATTGCGAAACTCATGGATCCCTGGCCCATGAACCAAAGGGTGGAGCACATGTTGAAAAATATATAAGTACAGCTTTGAAAATACTCTTTACCCATGGACCTGAATCAGGCAATACAGTACCTATTTGCAGGAATTCAATAAATACATGTTCTTATTATTTTGTCAACATCTCAACATAAGTTTCTCCTTTGCCCAGCATCCGTGCCCAAAAGTGGAGTAGTCAAGTTGCTGATATATTAAAGTACATGACATCTTTGTATATATTTTTTACTCATTGATCTCTTGCAGACAGTTCGTTTGCTTGATTATACAATAAAACATGCTTTTATAGCGAAGTGCCCAGGAGGAACCGTTTTGCCTCGTTATAAACGTAATTCCTCAGATCCGTTCATTTCACAATGCATTTTAGAACCTCTGAGAACGAAAATTACATCTTTGTAAGCGTGAATTTGTTATACGTTTATTCGTTATAAACATGTTAATTTTAATTACAATGTAATGCTAAGCCATATTCCAACATTTTAAGACTTATAACCCTCACTGATTCAGAAAAATGAGAACTCTAAATCTTATCGTATTCTACACTTGCACTTATAAGTATGAAGCATAATAGGCGGAGCAAGGAAAGAATCCTTTAGATCGATAAATACTTCGCAACGGTGAATCAAAAGGTCATTTATATATAAAGTGTTGAACGAATGCTCAAATGTCCAAACGTTTGAAAGATAAAGCAATTCAGTTTTTTTCTATATTTTTTTTTAAATCATACACGTAAACTAAACTTACAATTTTCATTAGAATGAATAGAACTAATTCTTCTGCAGTGTTCAATGGATTTGACAAACTTCCAGATGCTGCCCATTACATTTTTGGAGTAGTCTATATTGTTTTGAACGTCATAGCTACAACAGGAAACATTCTTGTGCTCTTCGTTTTCATTAAGAGTCCAAAGCTTCGCAGTGCGCATTGTTTTTTGGTTTCCGCCCTTTGTTTTGGTGATTTACTGATGAGCTCTGTGGGCTTAACTATGCTCATTATCGCCAGTTTCTCCACTTATTGGGTCCTGGGGAAAATGGCTTGTACGTTCTATGGAACCTTGATGACTTTTCTGGGGCTATCACAGATCACGTTGCTAGCAGTTATTGCTTATACAAGATATCTTGTTGTTGTGCATAACAATGGGATCGGGACTATCTCTGCGAAAGTGATTGTTTTGGCTTGTTACACGTATTCCTTGTGTTTCTCCCTTGCTCCTTTGTTTGGATGGAGTACGTTTGCATTGGAACCAATAGGAACTTCATGTGGACCTAACTGGGTCGGAATTACGCTTGATGACATCAGTTTCAACATGACTTTATTCTTTCTTTGTTTTCTAGTGCCTCTTTCCGTTATACTTTTTTCCTATTCAATGGTTTACAAGAAAGTAAGTATCATTTTAGATTTCATTTGAAAAAAATTAATATGGTCGATTTTCAAGACCTTCGAATAGTCGGCTGGACCTTTCATCATCTTTGGAAGCTCTATTTACCTTAAATTGCTTACGCCTATTGAAAACCAGTTGCTTACTGTACTTTCGGTCTGCCTGCATCATTAGTATATGCGTCTGAGTCAAAGTGTTCTCGAGATTTTCACAAATCTTATTAACTAACCGAATTACGACGTTGTCTAACGATGTCATGATGATCAACAAATCATCAAAACTTAATATCAAGTAAAATGGATTAAACTTTCACACAAATGTTTATGAGTTGAAGCAATCATAATTATGACATTATTTTTGTTTTATATGACACTTACGTCGGGTTTTTTCACAGCGAATTTTAAGAATTGAAATGATTATGAACAAATGTCTCCCCTACATTTTCAAACGTCCGGTTCTATGGCAACTGCCAAAGTGTAAAAAATTCTAAAATATTTTTATTAAGAAAATTCAGCAAGCTTACATATATGTATTTTCATCTGTAATTTTCAATCACTTTCATTAGAAAATAAATCAAATATAAAGGAATTCCATTTTGGCTCAACCCTCGTAGATTTATGGATTTTTAATTTGTAAGTTGCTGAAAACATACGCTTATAACACGTGCCTTGTTAATATTTTGCAAAAATGTTATCTAAGAATGTTGTATTTAAAAAATAACCTTTTTGTAATTCAACTGTGTTCGGTATATATTACTTCAACTTTATTATTATAAATTATTTTATTCGATTATTCGTTATGAATATCTTCAACGCCTGTGCCTCCAAAAATTTTGCTTATCATGATTTTGTTTTTGATTAATTTAAATGCTCATGCTTGTCTGACTTCAGAGTCAGTGTTTATTCTTTAGCAGGTTATTATTGATTTTGACTTCCGCCATGTGCTTTTCCTTTGCCAAGGTCATGTAACAAAATACCCTGTTGGTACAATTATTTCCATAATTACACTTCAGTCAATCATGTCTGCCAAGGGAGAAGCAAAAAAAGAGAAAGAGAGCCGACTGGGGGCATCTGTAATAGTTTTCATTACAATTAGCAGTAGTTATGTGTTGCCGTATAATACCTTTACTATTTTCCCCAATATAGAATAAGATTTTTAAATGTGAATAATTCCCTAGAAATCGCTGTGAACTGACTAATCCCCTTGGGATTGTCAGGTGAGGTAATCCCTGTTAATCTTATAGGTTTCACTTTTGTATTGGTACTATATAAGTGGACTTATCCCCATGTGTAAGACAAGTGAGCTAATCCCTTCTTTGAAAACTAATTCCTATTTATCTCTATTCTATATGTTACTTTTGTATCGGTATAATAAAACAGTTAAAAACTGTATCATTCTATCAAGGGAATTAGCAAGATTCCACTTCCCCTCACCAAAACTAATTCTTCATCTCGGGAAATAGTGCTGACCTTAGGAGAAATGGAATCTTGTTAACTCCCTTAATTATATACTTTACCTGTATAATAAGTAAAAAAAAACTAAAAGAAGTCGTGAAATAACAGTTTCTGTGTAGATTATAAAATATCAATGTGACTAATGTTCCATTTCATTTTTTTATGAATGACTAAATAAATGAATATTCATAGCCTAAATTTCTAACATTTTTCTAAGAGAAACTATTGCTTCTCTTTTTCTCTGAAACACAAAAACCACGTTTACGTTAGTATTTCAATCAAGTTCAGTTTTATTCCCATCATGTTTGGCAATATGACTTTTTTGATTCATCCAAGTTTATAAAAGTGTACTTTGGTATCTAAGAGAGCATTTCCTAATACTTTATTGACACATTTAAACATGCTAAACTTACCTGTGATTAGTATTCCATCTAGGGGGTTGGATGTAACGTGCCGATACTTTTTGTAAAAAAAATTATAGGAACATTATTTGGAATCATTGAATTCTGTTCAAGTGTTGTCTGAATAAATGGGGAACTTGGGAAAAGTTTTGGAAATTCTTAAATTGGTTTTAGATTTTAATATTGTAGTGATAGGTTTTAATTTGGGAAACATGTAGGCCCCTTTCACTCACTATATAGATCTTTGCCTTAAACGTCGGTGTGTTATATTCAAACCTTCAAGTTATCATTATATTGTTTACTAAACAAAACATGCATACATTAATTTATTAGTGCATGATAATACGAAGAAATAATGCAAACTTTTGTTGAGTTGTCTATTTCATTACTTTAAGAAATTATAAAGTAGGTTAGGTAATTAAACTTATTTCATGACAACTCGGGAAACAGTAATACTTGTCCCTCGATATGGGGAGGATCCTCGGGCAAAAGTTTCCAAGGTCTTCCCCATTACCTTGGGACAACACTTTGACTGTTCTCCTCGTAGTCATGTAATAAGTGTATATTGATTCATCCAGAAACACTAGTTAAAAAAAACTCTGTTTCCCTTTGAATAATGAAACCACGCCCACCAGCGCGATAGAACTTAGCAACAGTAAACATTGCTTCGATTAGTGAAAAATTTCAATGTTACCCTCAACTACATGCAGTATTCATTAATTATTACCTAGTGTAACATGCTACTGTCAAGTGGATCTAGAAGTACTAGTAATATTTTGAAATAGGTGAATATAAAGAACTGATCAATTTCAAAACTGCAAACAATTCATATCCATGAACAGGGCATAAAACAGGGACCCCGCGAAATTCCTGAGGTGGGATCAGGTGCCCAGGAGGATACAATACAATAAGCGTAAACAATAATCCTACTGATCAGAAGCTATTGTTTTTGCAGTGCGGTATTTCCTCAATACACATTAACACCTGTTTAATAAATAATGCCTATTTAATATAAACAACATACCTTACCTGTATTGTATGATCCTGTGTTATGTACGATCAATAAAGAGTTATATAAGCAATAAAGAGTTATATAAAGATGTGGGAATGAAAGGAAATCATAGTTTGCTGGATGCAGGTATATTTTATGAATGAATTATATAATCTTAATTGCTCGGGTTCATTGTATACTGTACGTCTGCTTAACTTTCACTTTTTTCTTGTTTCAAACCGTTGAAACGTGAAACTGAACGCATAAAAATAATAATGATGAAATCTTACCATATTCTGTTAGTCTTTTAAAAGTTTTATATTTGAGATTTAACCAAAAGGGTTTAAAGTTCTAGTCTCATTTCACTATGCATCTATCTGTCAATACTTTATATAGGGCTTTCATAACAAATTTAGGAACATACATGTACAGAATGTTTTATTCAGATACACTAGCAGCTTTATTAAGTCAATTCAAACGGTTTTTTAATTTAAAAAAAAAAATAAAGAAAAGAAAAATTGAAAATTTTAAAAAGTCTTGATGAGCAAAGATCCGCCATTTTAACCAGTCATCTTTATTCTAACAAACACTCCATATCTATCATATTTTATTTAATGGTCTTCCCTCAGATTTTTACAAACAAGCTTGATTTGCTTTTCTCAAACAGAGGTATTTAACATTTAGAAAAAAGTATATTGTATCCACCTGCCTCTTCATTAAAATGGTAGATCTTAATTGCTTGAAAGTATTAACAATGAAATAAGTTTACATTTTGTTTAATTTAGATCAAGAAAAGAAAAATAAGGAAAAAGTCGGAGGGATACGAGATTCATGTGACGACTACCATCTTATTTATGATAGGTTAGTATGAAATGACAAAAATACATGTATACAGAAGCAAAATAATGGGAAAACTTTCGTTGGTTTAGAACCTAAAAAGGTTTCATTGAGATTCAATTTCACTGTTTAAAAATTTACTACATTCTTTATATTTCTGAGTATAAAATTTCTATTTGGCAATAATTTTAATTTTTCAATGTAATAAAATAAAATTCAATCCCAGCAAACTTTTTAAATTCTATAATATATATTTTCAGTGGCATTTCTTGGTTCCTGGACTCCATATGCATGTATGGCATTGTACATCGTCATCACCAGAAATAACAGGATAAATCTGGTTGTATCTGCCATCCCCTTGCTTCTTGCCAAATGCTCCCCCGTGTGGAATCCCTACATATACTTCATGAGGAACCACAAATTCAATCAAGAGTGCAGGAAGTTGTTACCTTTCTTAAAACACCTCGGACTTTGGCGGGTGAACCCACGAGAACAGAATGTTGTAACTCAGCAGCAAGTGACCAGTTCTACACGGACCTCTACTTATGTCTGATAGTGGCGGGAAAAACAGAGAGGCGGGAAAATAGCAGTCGCAGAGGTGCTTGTTTAATGCTTTGGGAGCAATCTCGTTCTATTTTAATTAAATTGTTTCTTTGTATGTGCAAATCAAATTTATTTTTCAATGAAACTCATGCTGTGTCATTCAAGATATAATATTTTTTTATTTGGAAATGTCTTTCCTATAAAGATGGAAACAAGTGTGACTTAGAATACAAATCACTTTATATTGAAAAGATTTCAGATATATGGACTTAATATTAAATGTTGATGGAATGCATTGATTAAGCTTTATGATACAACTCTTACAGATTCTTCATCCCGACCTTAAAAGGATACATGTATAGGATAGATAGAAAGAAACGTTTATAAGATTAAAGTTCTGTCTGTTCTCTGAAATCTATTATTCATCATTATTGATCATCTGTCTCTTATTGCTCAGTGTGAAATCACATTCACCAGAAAATACTGACAATGATGGCTTTATCTGTTCATTCATGTTATGAAAGCCATACAAATAAATCAATTGCATTCACACCTAGCTATCTTTACATTGAATGAACATGTTTTATGCATAGTTTCGTGTGCCAAGGTAATAAATCTTTACTTCCTGTTCATTTGAGTTATGAAATGAGAAAACATTTTCCATTCCAATGCAGCAAAAAGACATTTATGCTCTCCTTTCCTTATTACGGTTTAACTTTCATATTGAATTGTCCTTAAGGTTCATTGACCCTCTGAAAAGAGAGATAACTTTCACCGGGATAAACGACTAATATTTCCTTTACAGAGTTGTCAAGTAATTTGAATTATTTTAATAATTTATTCCCTGCTGTGTATGCTGAAATAGTATGCCTTTCCATTATAAATGAGATTACTTCTTTTGGAAAATCATCAGCGTTAAAGCAAAATTTTAACATGAGTGAACAAATTGGTGATAAACCTTTAATTTGCTTGATTTTTCACGACTTTGAAAATGGTCATTTCAGGACAAAAGGTCAATCAATCACTTTCTTAGGCCGTATTTCAGCCTTGACTGTGAAATGATTTTTAATACATACTGTCTTTGTCTTCTACAAAAACAAGATCTATTTTAAGCAGAGAGATAGAGAGAGAGATTATGATGATGTTGATAAAAGTAAATTATGAATGATGTAAAAATGTTGTTATAATGAATCAGTGAAAATCATCTCTATCGTGATAAAGAAATCATACTTTGTAAAATATCTTGTAAATTGTTGTTACCTTCGTGTTTTTCATGTTGATGCATTAAAACTTTGCCTTAATTACATTGTGTGTTGCTTTTGTTTTTTCCCTAGTTCTTCATATATGAAATATGAAGACAACTAAAAGTAATCAAGCTAGTCCAATAAAAGAATACAAATTTGGAGCAGAGGAAACACGGACCTCTAAAAACATCAGAGGTTGGATTAGGTAGTAAGCATCTCCTGTCGACCGGTCACACCTTGTTATCATCGGGTAAACGGAAAATCCGTAGACTATTCAGTTAGAAAATAATGGCCTAAATATTTATTTGAAAACGTCAGTCAATATTCAACTTAATAAGAGATTGTATTTGTTGATAACGTCATTGTATCGACCATAGAATTTGCAAAATGTAGATGTTAAACAAGACTGTTGATATTCTAGTTTCATCAACTTATTTGTCAATAGTTTTCCTCGTTTTAGAAATTTTTCGTACATAGAGCATAGTGCTCATGCGTACTGAATCAACTGGAAGATATAAACTTCATATGCGATAATGGTATATTGATAAATAGATAAAGGAAGTTGGGGATAGAAAAGTTGAAGTCATCACGTTTATCATAAAATTTGCTGGTTAAGTTACCAGAAACGTCTTTTTCTAGTAAAATATCTAAATATGGAACAGATGTGTCAGACTCTGTGGTATCTTTTATTTCGAGTTCCGAGGGATATATCAAATCAAAGAAGGAATGAAAATGAATAAAGTTAATTGATAAAACGTCGTCAATATTTGTATAAATGATGAATTGAAATCCACAGCAAGAGACTTCTTCTTTTCACGTAGAAGTTTTTGAATAAATTCTGCTTTTTGACTTTATTGAAAGACTAAACCAACCTCTTCAAGCAACCCTCTCACTTACCTCAAATATATCAATAACAAAAATTCGGACGGGATTAAAAAGTCATTTCCTTTTTTTAATTTGACTTTTGTCCGTTATTTGTGATTTTCATCTGAATTATTTGTATCGGATGCCTTTTTGAGTGTTATTTTCTTGCAATCATGCCAAAGTTCATAAAAAATTCTTAATCAATCAATCAATGTCCTTTTCAGTACTATCCCTTTGTCGATAATCAACAAAAACTATTACAACACAGTTTGTGTTGAGTCGCCCGCGTGGCGCAGTGGTTAGAGAGTTCGCTCTAGAATCGCGGAGTAAGGAGTTGATCATTACGTCACGGGTTCGAATCCCACTGTGGGACGTGAAGACCGGTCCTTCGGATGAGACCTATAAACCGAGGTCCCATGTAGCAGTAGGTATGGCATGAAAAAGATCCTCCACTGCTCAATGCCCCTGAGTGCCGAGTATAGATCAAAATTTGAAGCTCTGCACCGGCAAGTGGTGGCGTCTCCATATGAGTGAAAAATTCTCGAGAGGGACGTTAATCAACAAACAAACAAACAAAACTACACAGTTGAAATAACTAAAGTTTATGATGCTCCTGGCACAATTTAATGTTCTTGAAATATTTTAATATTTTCAGTTGCAGTTTACTACCAATTAGTGTTTTTGCCTGCAGGCTCAAAAAATGAGTTTCTTGCCATTGTACATTTCAAATTACATTTGGAACAAATGGAAAACAAGAACATGGGTAACAAAAATGGTTTTAAGAAAATGTACATATTAAACAGTTTGTAGTAGGCCTTCACGGTTACGTGCTTTACGAGTCAACCCAATTGTTAAAGGACCATCTGTTGTCGTTAAGTTCCACTTTATTGAAAATATATCCTTGTATCTTTCAAGTAGATGAAATAAGTAAAAATAAACAACAATGATCAATCTCAGAAAACCTACAAACAATACAAATCTGTGAACAGGGCGTAAAACACAGAGAAAGAATCCTCAGTCGGCCAATCACAACCACCGTGATACCTATGTATTAATCAGGTGGATGGAACAATCCGTAGTCAAAGAACTGCAAACGAAAGATTTGTTCTGCCACCTACCTTCAAGTCTAAAGTTAACATATTTGAATAATTGTTCATATTCATTTAGATATTTTTATGGATTTTCACAAAACATAACTTATTTGGGAAAACAAAGAGAGATAACTCTACAATTTTGGTAAAACTTGCGATTTTTACTAGAGAAATCAATGAAAAACGGAAAAAAGATTTAAACACCCCCCCTCCCCGTCAAAAAATTCCTTTTTACAGGTTTTAAGAATTGTTTTTTAACAAATTCATACCAAAGCTTTTGTTGTTTAAAGCCCGATTTCAATGTAAAATATCGCCTACCCCCACCCCCTAAAAAATTTGGAGTTAAGAGTAATTAACTATTTTACAGTGGTATCAAAATTATCAATCAATCACCATTGAACTCTTCTTTGCATTCAACAAAGATTGTATGGCCAAATTGCCATTAGTATTGAATTAAATGGGTGTAAAATGTAGGCGGGAATCGAGATTTAGCTTGCGTAGTTCTTTAGTATAGAAACAAAAGCCTAACAATTGTTGAAATATGTCAGTCTATAAACGACTCAGTGATAGGTTTTTCTTTCTAACAAGGTCATTATAACGACCATGGGATCTAGTTGAGAGACATAAACACCATAAGCTGAGAAAGGAATTTAACTACATAGATTAGGAGCGTTATCGATGAAAAAGCTGAGGTAATCTTCTCGTTTTTCATATATTGTTGGCTCTCATCGTCTATAATCAGTTAAGCATCCAAATGAAACAGTGACAGACTCGGTGGTGTATATTATAGAGAGTTCATTGGGATATATCTAGTTCGCATATGAATGTTAATTGCTAAAACGTCTTCGATGTATCTGAATGTCGAGTTGAAGGTCAGAGTAAGTGTTTTCTTCTTTTTTATTCTTCTCAGATAGAAGTTTCTGGAAAAATTCTGCTTCATGGGAAGATAAAAAAGGTCGGATAATAAAGGAGTACAGTTAGTGTCCTTAGGAATTTAGAAAAATTTACAGATTTTCGGAGGACCTGGTCTCCAAAGACTATATAGTGCTTATTTGTAGAATTAGAGTGGTTTTTAACAAAGTAATTTTGTAGAAGACCAATCTCAAGATTTGAAAATTTACTGATTTTGAAAATTGTGCGATTTTATATATTTTATAAGTTTTTGAGAATGGATATTTGATTAATGCCACTTCTCAAATAGACTGTATCACATACTGTACGTCTTAAGATTCTCCTTCACAGCAGTTTACCTTTTTGTGAAAAGTAAAGGTAGCACAGATTCGTAAAGCAATTACTGGACCCGGCAGTGTATATATGTAAGGATATTTATGATATTTAAGAATGGAGTATAGATACGTTAGATCAAACTCATTTTCATACTAAGCTTTAGAAAGTGAACTGTGAGTATAAGTTGGAATTCCCGATTTAGAATTAAAACTAAGTTCTTCTAAAATACAGTTGCAAAAATGAGTCGTGCAAAGAAAGATGATATTGTCTTATGCCTTGTCTGCTGGAACTATGAAAAATTGTTTCCAACTCTTTTATCAATTTCATCTCTAGCCGATACTAATATCTGAGCAAGGACTTAATTAGGACATAACCACTATATTTATTAGACCCGGCTTCTTGGTTTGTTGAGACCTCCTGAACTATATGTTGTGATTAATACCGTACCGGGATCAGGTGCCTGGGAGATAGATCAGCCCCCTTTTTATTGTTCTTCGAGAAATTTAATTAGTTAGAGATGTACTTTGGATAACACCAGGTTATTTTGTGTATCTATCAGTAAGCATCAGAAAAGCATATATACATATATGCTTAAAATAAGATATATTAATATATCACATATTGTGGACTTTTAAGGAGAGGAAATTTAGAGATTTAGTCCAAATAAATAAGCAAATAATCTTAGCAAGAATATTCTATGGCGATTTGAGAATATCTAACAAGATAAAAACTTCGACATCTTTATCCTGACAAATATCTACTATAATAAATTCTTTTATGATTTGATTGAATATGGAATTTTACTCTAGAACTTTTTTAACGAGAGATAAAATCTCTAAAATTCCATTTCAATTATGTTAAGTTTTGATATTATATATAAATATACAAGTAATATTTTATATATAAATATACAAGTAATACTTCCTCTAAACATCAAAAAATTTAAGAGATGAAGAATATAAAATACAGTTTTTTTTAAATTCAAAGTATGAAAACTTTGATTAACTATGCATGTTGTGAAAACTTTAATTCACTATAGTGAAGACTTTGATACTATGGTTAACTATAGTTCACTTTAGTATTTTTGCTAGCAAAACGCCGAGTAAAAAACTATAGGCATTTTTTGGCGATTTCAATACATTTGTTGATAATGTTAAATTTGAATCATTGCTACAAATTCTCCTAATGCTGTCAATTGTAATATCTAATAAAATAAAAAAAAAATCGAGATTCCTGTCATTAATTAAATCGCTGTTTATACCTGCATTATCCAAGTACAGAAAGAACATCCAAGGCTAACTTTTTTGTGTAATAATTAGTACAACTGCCTGAATCACTTCCAAAAATTATTACATTATCCAGGAACATATATATATATATATATATATATATATATATATATATATATATATATATATATATATATATATATATATATATATATATATATATATATATATATATATATATATATATATATATAAAGATATCATAGCTGAGGAAAGATTGGAAATTTATGAACAATGCGTAAACCACATTCACTTATTCTTACGTACAGTTTTTTTTCAAATAATGTCCAATTAGAAAATGAGAAATCACAAAAGTCGTTGACATTTATAAATCAATACAAAACTTCAGATAATTTTTACATCAATTAATCTTTTTAATTAAAAAAAAAAATAGAACAGCCCTTTAACACTTAAAAAATATGTTTTTTAAGATATCAGATCCAAAGAGAAACTAGAAATCTTTGAAGCACAAGCATCGCTCGTTAACTTATTTGTCATATTTGTTATTTATATTTATTACTTATTTGTCATGCATGTAATTTTGGATTTAACTTGATGGCGGCCACTGTTTTAAGAAAAAATAACTCGA